GGAAAATGACGATAGTAAGGATAAGGAAAGAAAAAGCAGCAGTTCCATCAAGTAGTTCAGGCACAGTTATGAGTAGGACATTGTTGGAACAGCCCATTTATAAAGCCATTTGGGAATGGCCTAAAGACATTTCAGTCAGTGGCACCGCCGGGTGGGGGGGTTGCATCTTTGATAGAGCTTTGGGCAGATGAATTGGAAAAGTACAACAAAACAAGAAATTCTAAAAAAAATGGACATAAGTGATTTGCTTGCGACAGGGACAAATTAATACTTTTATTTATGTTCTGCTCATTCTTATGTCCATGCATTTCCAGAAGCACGTACTTTCTATTTTTAGTTTTAGTAGAGGTTTTACTGCGCTCGCAACTGCATAAGGTCATATGAGCGCCAGAAGATTAGAGGTGTTACAAGAGAGTAACAAACATAAAAAAAGAAGAAGGGGAGATAAGGACGATAGATGTTTGATAGGAAAGGAGAAGAAAACCACACCAGAGCACCCGCCAACCACCCACGTACTTTCTATGACGCCTCAGGCTGCCTGACACTAGCAGTGAACGACGCCTTAGTTTGTTAGCGTTTGAGCACTTAATCAGCTGCTTGCACTGTATATTTCTGAGAATGTTTCTGAGTGTTTTCTGGTATACTGGGGTAATAATCTGTCCCCGTCGTTTTATGCAAGAAAAATTCTGAAATTATGCAAACTGAGCCCCCAAAATGTGAAATTATGCGATTCTGTTAATTTGAATAAAGGAAAATAATCAGAAATTATGCACAAAAACAAAACAAAAAAAAAGATCAAATTTTGCTAAATTATGCGGGGTGCATAAAACCACGGGGGCAGTTCCATGAGAGAACATATTTGATTTTAATGTAAATGCAACTCTGTTATGTAAAATAGTACCTGAAAACAGTTTTAGCAAAAGGCCGATACATTCCTGAGACTTACTGACTGATTCAATCCCATCCCTGTCCCTCGTCACTTGTTCACAATTCTATTTGTCGTGGAATTACCTGATGAGCGATTCATCGTGGTTAAAGACTGAAAGATTTTCATTTTGTCAACCCATTTCAGACCCATTCATAAATGATCTATTCATATGTGAGTCAATGTGAGACTGTCGTCTCAGTCTACAGCCACCTTGATTACGTAACTTTTTACTATTATTTCCTTGCTTTGATCTGTTATCTTAACAATGTTAATGTTTTTAACTATTGCTCATAAATATAATATTATGCATGTGACTGTGAGCCTGTTTGTGAGTGCAAGAATACTATAATTGTATTATTATGGCTATGTGCACAGATGTGTGTGGAAGAGAGGATGTGTTAGAGAGGAGTGTGTGTGTGTGTGTGTGTGTGTGTGTGTGTGTGTGTGTGTGTGTGTGTGGTGAAACACCAAACCAGTGTGCCAGAATCTGGACAATAAAGATGTATCTGATCTGATCTGATCTGATCTTACTGTCTTCCCAACTTCCAGTGGATCCCTATGGGCCAGCTGGAGTTAAGAAGATGGCCCTGGTTGGAATCTCACAACAGGGCTTGCTTGAACGTGGGATTTTGTGGAGTTTAATCATATATAACATTTGTATAGATAGCGCATACCTCCGCTCAACAGCAAGCTCTATGCGCTTTACATTACATTATTACCCCAGCAAACCATAGAACACTCAGAAACATTCTGAGCTTCCCGGGAAGCATACAATGCGGGCAGTTGATTTTATTTAAGCGCTCAAACACTAACAAACTGACAAGATCTTTCTTTGTTTCTAACCGGGTACCCATTCCCACCTGGATGAAGTGAGGAAAATTCGTGTAAAATGCCTTTCCCAATGACTCATCCTTTGGCACCTGTCAGGATTCGAACCCACGACTTTATACGATTGCGAGTCTGGATGCCTAAAACCACTAGGCCACCGACATCTCCCAGGCCCTCCACCTTCTATAGGCTCAGTTGTTTTGGAAATACACTTGAGCATAATTTGGAGAACAACTATATTATCGTCGCCCAGCTGTTAAAATGTACAAAGCCCAAAATTCTGATTTCAATTCCCCCCCCCCCAAAAAAAAAAAAAAAATTTTTTTTTAAATTAAAAAAATACAGTTTCGTAATCTGTGACATCGATTGCATGTGCTAAAAAATATTCTATCAAAATTTAAAACCGAAATATTAGAAAACAAATCAAGAAAAATTGGCGTACATAATTTAGGTAAAATTGTAAAAAGAATGAAACACTGTTGTTGTTTTTTTCTCTCTCCTGAAACATTTTGCATTCCGTATAGATATCCATGTATCCAAGTGGACAGCTCTCCGACGATCTCACAATGCTAGTACTGGGTAGACAGTGGAGAGTCTTGAGACCCTACTCCCACCCCCCCACCCCCCCACCCCCCAAAAAAAAATCAGGTTTTAAGAAAGCCTCATTCGGGATTCGACCCCAGTATTTTAGCAAGGTACCAAGTGACTTGTGGGTAATACCCCCTCCCAAACCCCCCCCCCCCA